ACAAGGACGGAAACACGATCAAGACCAACGATCCCCAAAGCCATGACGAAGAACCATACACGAGAACTGGTTGGGCCCCGAGGTTCGGCTGGCCCGCTGACGACCTCCATGATGCGGCAAGTCTCCTAGATCACTCGACCTGGCTCGAAAGTAACATCCCGGATAAATTCTACGGAGACTGGTACCATAATGCCGCCATCATTGCCTTTGCCTGTATCTCTTCATGGCTCGTCGCTGTTTTGGGCGGAGGCCTTGGCTGGGTCTTTATTCTCATGGCTGTCTGCTCAACTTACTACCGGACTTCCATTCGCCGAGTCAGGCGCAACTTTCGAGACGACATCAACAGAGAACTTTCGCTGAAGAAACTTGAGACTGAAACCGAATCGCTCGAGTGGATCAATTCCTTTATGCTCAAGTTCTGGCCTATCTATCAACCCGTTCTGGCACAAACCATCATCAACTCTGTTGATCAGGTTCTCAGTGGTGCTACTCCCGCCTTCCTGGACAGCTTGAAGCTCAAGACGTTCACTCTCGGCTCAAAGCCTCCGCGAATGGAGCACGTAAAGACGTATCCCAAAGCTGGAGATGACACCGTCATCATGGATTGGAAATTTAGCTTCACCCCCAATGACACGGCGGATATGACCTCCAAGCAAGTCAAAAACAAGATCAACCCAAAGGTTGTTCTTGAGATTCGAGTTGGAAAGGCCATGATTAGCAAAGGCCTGGACGTGATCGTTGAGGACATGTCTTTTTCTGGCATCATGCAACTCAAGATCAAGCTACAAATCCCTTTCCCTCACATTGAAAAGGTGGAGATGTGCTTTCTGGAAAAGCCCACGATTGATTACGTCTGCAAACCTCTCGGTGGTGAGACTTTCGGATTCGACATCAACTTCATTCCTGGACTCGAGTCTTTCATCCTCGAGCAGATCCACGGCAACCTGGCTCCCATGATGTACTCTCCCAACGTATTCCCCATTGAAGTAGCCAAGATGCTGGCTGGAACCCCGGTTGACCAGGCTATCGGCGTGGTTGCTGTTACTCTCCATGGCGCTCAGGGCCTCAAGAACCCGGACAACTTCTCTGGTTCGCCCGATCCGTATGCCGCCTTGACCTTGAATCGCCGCCAGCAGCTTGCCCGCACAAAGCACGTCAAGGACACCGGAAACCCGCGCTGGAACGAGACTCACTACATCATCATCACTTCTTTCAATGACTCTCTGGATATCCAAGTATTCGACTACAATGACTTCAGAAAACACAAGGAACTGGGCGTGGCATCGTTTGCTCTCGATCAGGTCGAGGAACTGGCTGTTCACGAGAATGAAGTCCTTGAGGTCATTGCAGACGGCAAGGCTCGAGGTCAGCTCTCCTGCGATATCCGATTCTTCCCAGTCATGGAGCCCAAGAAGTTGGAAGACGGCAGCTTGGAGCCTCCGCCGGACTCCAACACGGGTATTCTCAGATTCACAGTGGAGCAGGCTAAGGATTTGGATGGCACCAAGAGTCTTGTCGGTCTTCTCAACCCTTATGCTACTCTGCATCTCAACGGCCGAGACGTCCACTCTACAAAGAAGCTAAAGAGGACCAATAACCCGATCTGGGATAATGGCTCGAAGGAGATGTTGATTACTGACAAGAAGAACGCTAAACTCGGAGTCACGATCAAAGACGACCGCGATCTTACTGGCGACCAGGTCATTGGCAAGTACCAGATCAAACTCGAGGACATGCTGGAGTGCATGGGCAAGAGCCAGGAGTGGTTCCATCTCTCTGGCGTCGCGACCGGTCGCGTGAAGATGATGGCTCAATGGAAGCCGGTTGCTCTTTCTGGTGTAGTCGGTGGAACGGGAGGTTACGTCACCCCGGTTGGTGTTATGCGTTTCCACTTCAAGAACGCAAAGGACCTTCGCAACTTCGAGACTCTCGGCAAATCCGACCCCTACGTGCGCGTTCTTCTCTCTGGCATTGAGAAGGCTCGCACAGTTACCCATAAGAACACTCTTGATCCCGACTTTGATGAGGTTCTCTACGTTCCAGTCCACTCGGCTCGCGAGCGTCTTACGCTCGAAGTCATGGACTCTGAGAAGATGGGCAAGGATCGCAGTCTTGGTTTGATTGAAGTATTCGCTGGCGACTACATCTCGCAAGCTGAGAACGGCGAGTACAACGTTCACGATCAGAAGAAGATGTTCCAGGGTGGTCTGCAGCTTCATGGCAAGGGCATCGCAAAGGGTGTTCTGACCTACACGGTATCCTTTTTCCCTTGTCTCAATGTTGCCGACCCCGAAGACGAGGAGGAAGAGGCTCAGGCGGCTGCAGCTGCGAAGGCGATCGAGGATGCTCCGCGATCGTCAGAGGCCGGTAAATTCAGCAGCTCCATGGAGAAGAAGACCGAAGAGAAGAAGGACGGAGCCGAGTTGGAAATCAGTCCGCCAAAGACACCAGTCACTCCTGTCTCACCTACTATGCCCAGGAAATCCAAGGATGAGAGCGGCCCGCCTAAGATTCGGCTGTCCCCTCAGGAGCTTCTGAAGTATGAGTCTGGTCTCTTGATCTTCAAGCTCATGGAAGCGGAGATGCCTGAGCACAACACACACTTGGAGGTCTGGGTCGACGACATGGCCTTCCCTTCGTATACCTCGTCTGCCGCCAAGCACAAGAAGCACGCATTTGATGAAATTGGCGATTGTTTCATCCGAGAGCTCGACTTCTCTCGTCTTACACTCAAGGTCCGTGAGAAGGGCGACAAGGTAGAGGGCAGCGACAAGGACAAGGACCACACCATCGCCAAGCTGCAGGGAAACACTTTGGACACGCTGAAGCAGTGCCTGGTGAGTTTTTTCATCTCCTGGAAACATGACAAATTGCTAACCAGTTTTAGAACAACCCCACGACTCTCAAGTTGAAAGACAAGGAAAACCGGCCCAGCAGCGTCAAGGTCAGCCTCAAGTATATTCCCGTCAAGATGCAGCTGGATCCGAGCGAAAGTATCAACAACATGGGTACACTCCGCGTCGATGTTTTAGATGCCCAAGACCTACCGTCAGCCGACTCAAATGGCAAGAGCGATCCTTACTGCAAGTTTGAGCTCAATGGCGAGGATGTGTACAAGACCAAGGTTCAGAAGAAGACGCTGCACCCTGCCTGGAACGAATTCTTTGAGGTTCCCGTCCCATCGAGAACGGCTGCCAAGTTCAAGGTCACTGTGTGGGACTACGATTTCGCCGACAAGCCCGACTTCCTTGGAGCTGCCGACATCAACCTTGAGCAGCTGGATCCCTTTAGACCTAGTGAGAGTCGACTAATTCTGGATGGAAAGTCGGGCACAGTCAGATTGAGGATGCTTTTCCGGCCCTCGTATGTCACTCGCACTCGCCAGGGCACCTCTACCTTTTCCGGAACATTCGCGGCGCCTGGGAGAATCGTCACTGGCATTGCTGGAGCACCCATCAAAGTTGGCAGCACCGTTGGTCACGGCGTGGGCAAAGGTGCCTCGTTCCTCAAGCGTGGTTTGTTTTCCAGAAAGGAGGATGACGCAGATGGTGCGTCGTCTAGTTTCAACGATATCCCGACCATTGTCGAGAATGGAGGCAGCCCTCCTGGACCGACACCTGGCCTCGGACTCAAGCGAGCAACAGGATTCTCCACATCGGATGGGAGTGAATCTCCCGATACGCGACCGGGCACCTCCAATGGCTCTACACTAGGAGGTCACGCGCGTAAACAGAGCAACGGGGCCGCTTCTGTTCACAGCTTGAACCCAGGTTCCCCTGGCTCAGGAAGCGCCTCTTTCACCGTCGTGTCTGCTACGGGATTCCCTCCCTCAACCGACTTGTACATCACTATCAACCAGTTGACGCCCAAGCCCAAGGCAATTGGCAAGACCAAGCACCATAAGGACGCCACTGGTTTCTTCCGATTCAACGAGACTTTCAAGACCACATGCACACCCGATACCCAATTCAAGATCGAGGCCAAGGGCGAGCACACCCTCAGGAGCGATGACGACCTGGGCGAAGCCCTTTACTTCGTCGATGAAACCGGAACTGGAGCCGAGAAGGAGATCAAGGTTGGAAGCGGAACGGTCATTATGAAGAGTACCTTCGTCGCATCAGCCAGCACCTTGGACCCTGACAGCCCCAAGTCGATTGTTCGCCGCAGCTTCATGAGCAAGCGTGAGAGTCGCAGCAGAGAGGGAACACCGAGCTAATTGATTTGGTTCCAGCTCGTGTGTCGAACCTGGTTTCTGGACCGTAACTGTTTTTTTCATACGTCCTTTTCCTTTGATAACAAAAAGCTTTTTGAACTCTTTCAGATACCTTGGATGTTGCCCAACAAGCTGGCGATTACCATCCACTAATGAGTCTTTCCATTTTTTCTTCTCATTTTATTTTGTACTGGAGGGCGTAGTCGGAGGCTTTGGGGAGACGGTCGGATAGGGCGTGGACGGGTGGTAGAGAGAGCAGGGCAAACAGGTCCATAGCTTCTTGTACCTGAGTTAAGATGCAATTCAAGCTATCCAATTTCACTGAGCCAGCTTCATACGCTTTTATGCTACATCAGCCTCAAAGCCTTGCACCGTGTCTTAATGCTCGAATTTAGGTCAAACATCAGGAATCTCTTTTCATCATCTTTCGCCTTCTTTGTAAAGTAGGGACTCAGCCAGCCAACCTGGAACGTTTCCTTTAGAGACTCGGACAGCGGGCAGCGGGACGGCGAAAAGAGCCACCGTAGCCGAGAAATTTTCAGTGGACCCCGAGTGCATTGTGGCTGGCGCGCGCACCTTTAGCTCACTACTTGCTTGCACGTACTGTTGTAAGCTCTACGAAGTCCCAAATACCAAACAATTATTTCCTTCACTAGGCATCCATTGGAGCTCAATCGGCCCCCCCCTTAGCTACAGAACCCTCGAATGACGCCTTCGAATTACCCTCTTCACGCGACTTTGCAATAACTCTGACTTTCCCGGGCCGAAAGCCCTCCCGCTGCCCAAGATGATGCACCCTTCACGACAAGCCTACGTCGAGGAGGCAATGGACGAGGATCGAGGTATCGCGCTGGAGGACGTCCCCGTCGACCACGACTACGAGATTCCCTCCGCATTTGCCGGCGCCGCGCCTGAGAAGACGTCGGCCGTCCTGGCGCAGATGGAGAGGAAGAAGCTGGCGGCGAGTATCGCGGTGCCCACGGACGACAACCGGGTGCGCACAAGGCTCAGAGAGATGGGCGAGCCGATCACGCTCTTTGGCGAGGGCAAGCCCGAACGCAGAGACCGCCTCCGGAACCTGCTGGTTACCCAGCTGCTGGCCAACCAGCAGGAGATGGATGGCATCGAGAACGGCGACATCACAATGGAGGACGCCGAGGATGAGGACGAGGACGAGCAGGACGAGGAGTTTTACACACCCGGCGGCCAGGCCCTGCTGCAGGCACGCATCGATATCGCAAAGTACTCCCTGCCGAGGGCGCGGCGGCGGGTGCAGTTTCAAAAGGCCGAGTCTACGATCCCGTTGCGTACACACGTCAAGTTCCGGAAACAGATCAAGGAGAAGCTGGATGGCTTCGAGCTCCAGGGCAGTCAGACGGCCGGCGAGAGACACGTCAGCATGACGAGATTATCGCCAAACGGAGAGCTCGTTGCCGTGGGGAACTGGGGCGGAGCGCTCAAGCTCATTGAGATCCCGAGCATGGAGGCCAAGATGAATCTCCGAGGACACACACAAAAGATTAGCGGTATCTCATGGTATCCGGGGTCCACGCTACCCGAGGCCAACGTGTCACCCGATACCGTGAACCTCGCTTCCGGCGGAGCTGAGGGCTTGGTCCACCTGTGGTCTCTGAACAAAGATACCCCCCTTTCGACCCTGACGGGCCACGGCGGCAGGGTATCTCGCGTCGAGTTCCACCCTTCCGGCCGATATCTGGCATCGGCCTCAGACGACACGACGTGGAGGCTCTGGGACGTGGAAACGACGGCGGAGCTACTGCTGCAAGAGGGCCATTCCAGGGGCGTCTACGCCGTCAGCTTCAACGCCGACGGCTCCCTCCTGGCCAGCGCGGGCCTGGACAGCATCGGCCGCATCTGGGATCTGCGGTCCGGCAGGACGGTCATGATTCTCGACGAGCACATCCAGCCCATCTACGCGCTCGACTGGGGTTCCGACGGCCACAGGGTGCTGTCGGGCTCGGCCGACGGCTGGGTAAAGTGCTGGGACGTGCGCAAGGTGCAGCGGACGGCGAACCTCGGCGCGCACGCCAAGGCCGTCTCGGACGTGCGGTGGTTTCGGGGCCTGGACGACCCGATCGACGGCCACCCGCCCGGCCCTGACGAAAAGGGCGCGCAGCAGCCCAAGAAGGCGGGCACGTTTTTCGTCTCTGGCGGGTTCGACGCAAAGATTAAAATCTTCTCGGCCGACAACTGGGGGTTGGTGCAGACGCTCAGCGGGCACTCCGGGCCGGTTGCCAGTGTCGATGTTAGCAGGGACGGCAAGTGGATTGTCAGCGGTGGCCACGACCGGACGGTCAAGCTCTGGGGCCGGAATGATGGCGAGGGAGTGTAAGGAAGATGATTTGGTTTTGGAGACGGACGGAGACACCGACTCCTGTAGAACAATAAGATACCCCCTTCCAAGTTCAGTCAACTCGCCAACTCCCATCGAACCAGATTTTGAAGCATCGCCTCAAAGTTCATGAAAGACCATCTATAACCTCGCCTTGGGCAATCCACCAACCCCATCAGACGCCCCCCGAACCCTCCCAAGAACCTCATCCATCACATCCCCCAACGCCCTCATCGCGCCCTCCCCAACCTGGTGATGCAACACGACCCTCTTCCCATCCAACTTGATCCCCCTCCGCCTCCCAGCCTCATTCCACCGCTCCAAACCCACACCGCAACCCCGGAGATCCAACCAGACCATATTCGTCTCGACAGGCTTTAGCAGTACTCCGCCCCGGGAAACCCACATCCTCCCAACCTCAGCCGCCATCGCCCGGCTCCTCCCCAGCACGCCCCGAGAGTCTCGGTTACCCAGGCCGAAATTCTCTAGAACGGCCTGCCGCGCCGCGGCGGCCAGGACGCCGGCCTGTCTCATCCCGCCGCCTATACTCTTGCGTATCCTCCGCAGACGCTTGATCAGCTCCGACGAACCCAACACCATGGCGCCCATCGGCGCGGCGAGGTTCTTGCTGAAATCGAGGGTTAGAACGTCGCAGCACCGTCCGAATTCTTCCAGGGTGCCCGCGCCCGCGGATACGGCTTCCCAGAGCCGCGCGCCGTCCACGTGTACGCCGATCCCCCTCTCCCTGGTCCACTCTCTGATCCTCCGCAGCTCCGCGAGCGGCACGACGACGCCGGAGGACGTGTTCTCGATGCTCACCACCCGCGTGGGGCATTTATGTACGTCGTCCGTCACGACGGCATGTTTCTCGACGTCTTCTAGGGTCAGGTACAACCCGTTGCGCGGGCGGACGCCCTGGATCGTGGCGCCCGAGAGGTGTGCTACGCCGCCGGCTTCCCAGTGGATTATGTGCGCGGAAGCGTCGGCGAGGACGGCGTGGGGCGGTTGGGTTAGGAGGGTGCGGAGGGCGAGCTGGTTTGCCATTGTGCCGGTGGGGACGAAGGCTGCGGCGGCGTGGCCGCAGGTTCTCGCGAGCGAGGTTTCGAAGGCGGTGGTTGTGGCGTCTTCTGCGTAGACGTCGTCGGAGAGGGTTGTTTGGGATATTGCGGTTAGCATTGTTAGGGAGGGGGTTGTTATTACGTCGCCTAGGGGAGGTTAGTGGTATATCTCTCTCTCTCTCTCTCGCGCGCTTGCGCGCGGTCGAGAGAGATGAACATTCGGGTGATTGGGAATAGAATGAAGACGAAGATGAGGGTTTTGCATGGGATGGCGTAGAAAGGAGGACTGAGAGGGAAAGGGGGTTTCGACTCACTCCTGAAGTCGAACGCGGCGCCGGTTTCTTGGGGCGAACCCCAGAGGATAGGGGTGTTCTCGTCGTCGGGCATCATAGTGAGGAATTCCAGCAGATCTTTAGATGCCGAAGGACGGTGTATAAATTGCTAGTCTTGATGAAATTACGGCGAGTTTCTAGAGCATTTCCTGTATGAAAACTATCAAGCCCGAAGCAAAGCCGTGGTGGAACCAGGAATCAGGCAACACGGGCAGTTTGGCAGTTGCTTGCAAGTGCGTCCGGCAAGCGCTGTCCAGGTCTTGCAGGGACCATGTTAATAAGGACGCCCCTAAAAGGCAAGACGATCTCATCTCAGCCGGGTTGGAGATGTTATCACGAGACACCTACGTTTAGATCTCTTGCCGCCTTACAATCTGAGCCGAGGAAAGGAACATCACCACCCCATCCGAACTCATTGTGGCGTTTCTAGAAGGATTCGGGTTGAGGCTGTCGAGCACACAATCCTCTGTCAGCCGCGCGCGCGGGAGGGGCATCCAGACGGGAAACGGCATGGCGTATGTATGTATGTATGTAAGTGAGAGATGTCATGCAGTCAGCTCAGGGCCCATCGCAATCACGTCGCCCCAGGTCTGTCAAATCAGCGATATAACCATCCTCAAGAGGAAACGAGAGAAGGCTAGTGAACGAACTAGGTCAGCTCAACAGGTCGATTCTAGAAGGTATGCTCGATATGCCTCGGGTTCGGCTCCAGCCCCAAGTAGATCATCGAGGTTCAATGCCGTGATGTGTATCAGTGATTGGACCGTTGACGCGACGTCGGCCTCCAAGTGCTTACGGCAGATGTAACCCGTCTAGGATCTCACATGCAGCAAATAGTCTGCTTCCCCTTTTGATCCTTTAATCACCATGGGCTTTCATTTTGGTGATTTGTAGCAGCATTCACGATCTCCAAACGGGCTTCTTGGATCTCTTGGAAGGGGAACTTGGAGGCTGAGCCTTTTTTTTGCTCGCTTGCTTTCGCCTCTTCGGAGTTAGCTGGGCATTTGTTGGCATTGTAGGATTTGTATTGAACATGTATATGACTAAGAATATGAGAAGGAGGAGGATATGTTCTCTTGGCCTAACGTGTGTGTCTGTTGAACAGAAAAGACCGATGCCTTGTCTTCGATCAGCGGTGTGGGATATAAGCCGGTAGCCGGAAGCATGACGCAGACCCAAAAGAAAGGGGGAGAAATACAGACGATGGTACTCTGCTGGCGTTTATTCTACGATTCTCCTCTTCAACCATATTCCTTTCCTCTTGTCCCTTTCCCATACCCACCCACCTAGACTATGCTCACCTCTCATCTATAACGTTCATCCCCTCGTCCCCTTTCCCCCTCCCACCTTACGCCGGACGCCCCCAGCCATGGTCCTACAGAGCCACGACGCCCAGGAGCCGACCGGGTTTCCCGATGTCAAAGCCCTTGCCGCCGTTGCCGTCTCCTCCTGCGCCGTCGTCGAGGACACGAAGGCGGGTACGTATACGGATGAGAACGCCGTCCTAGCAAGGTACGGACTCGAGAGGCGCGCCGACGGCTTCGTCAACTGGCAGCGGGACTGTGCTACGCACCCGCGGAACTGGACTACCAGACGGAAGGCGTTTGATACCACGGTCATCATTCTGTTTGAGCTGTACACGTGAGAGAGAGCCTTTTTTCTTCTTTTTTTGTATATGTTTTCAGTAGCTGACAGGTTGAAAAGTACAATTATAAGTACAACTGGAGTATGTGATCACACCACCTTACCTTGTCTTATATTGCCTACTCCCCATCTCTGTCGAACCGTACCGAGATAATCCGTATCGCGGCAGGAACCGAGCAGTGTGGGGGTGTTCGTTGCTACACCAAAGTTCCCTATACCTACCTTACACAACAATGTCAACCTACCCATCAAATACAGAACCAAAGACAGATTGATATGCTAACAAGGCTCTGCCCCTACACAGGCCGTCGCCGCAACCGAGGCGGCTCCAGACTATGGTCTCAGTCGTCAGGTATCCCTGGTGGGCTTCACCCTAATGTAAGCTTTTCTCTCTCCCCCTCCTTCCCAGTTCTCCTGGAAAAGAAGTCCTGACGGACAACAATAATAGGTACCAGCTAGGCCAAGCAATAGGCGGCTTCCTCATCCCCCCCTTTTCCGAGCTCTTTGGCCGCCGCCTCCCCTACCTCATCTCCTGCGCCGCTTTCTGCCTCGCGAGCCTCCTCACCGGCCTAGTCCGCGATCCCGCAGCCGTCTACGCAGGGCGTTTCGCAGCGGGGCTCGCCTCGGCCGTGCCGTCCGTCGTCATCGCCGGCAGCGTGGAGGACATGTTCAACACGAAGCAACGGGTCTGGATCATTGTCCTCTGGAACGCGGGGACAACGGTCGGCTTGTGCTTCGGCCCCGTCTACGCCGCGTATATTTCGCAAGCGGTCGGGTGGCGGTGGGTCTTCCACAGCGCGGCCATCGTGACGGCGGTGCTGTTCCTGGCCATGTTTGGGATCAGGGAGAGCCGGCCTAGTATCCTGCTGGGGGCCATTATCAAAAAGATCCAGAGGGAGAGGACCACGATGCGAGAACTGTCGTGGCATAACCCGGACGAGGCGCGCGACTGGCGGGCCCTGGTCCGGATCAGCGTTCTTCGACCGGGCAAGATCTTGCTCACGGAGCCGTTGGTCGTTATGGTGGCGCTCATCTCGGCGTCGTCGTGGGGCATGATTTACCTTTTTACCGAGTCGCTCACCGTGGTCTACGTCTCGCTCGGGTTCACCAAGACGCAGGCGTCGTTACCGTTCCTGGCCATCGCCGTTGGCGTCGTGTTCACGTTCCTCCCTCGTCTGTGGGATATGAAGGTCGTCCGAGACCGCCAACGAAAGCAGATTCCCATCCAGCCGTGAGTTTACTCATGTATCCTTCCCATACGTTCATCGAGATCTCTCAATGCTAACCTCCCTTGACCAGAGAGGACAAAATCATCGGCTTCGCGTTCGCCGCCCCGGCACTCGCCATCGGGCTGGCGTGGTTCGCGTGGACGGTCCCACCCCTGGTGCCGGGCGTCCACTGGGCGGTGCCCACGGCGTCGCTCGTGCTCGTGGGCTTCGCGGTCAACGAGACGGCGCACACTTTGAGCGGCTACCTCGCGGACTCGTACCTGCTCTACTCGGCGTCGGCGTTCTCGGGTCTCGCGCTCGTGCGGGCCGTCGCGTCGGGGCTGATGCCGCTGGTGGCGCACGAGATGTACGCCGGGCTGAACGCGAACTACGCGGGCACGATACTGGCAGGGCTGGCGGCCGCGTTCTGCGTGACGCCGTGGGTGTTTTTCCGGTTCAGCAAGAGGTTGAGGCAGAGGAGCCCGTTTGCGCGGTTTAGTCTGGAGACGCACTACCTGACCAACGTAGAAGATAATTAGTAGATCAGTGGTGATTTCCAAAAGCCATGCAGAGAAGTGAAGCGTCGTTTCGATGTCTGGCAAAATTACAGTTTGGGCTTAGTCAATCGGCGTTGACGTGACCATCGAGGAGGGAAGATCGTCGTCGGCCGAGTTTCGACAGGGTTGGGTGCGGTGGATGGCGTACCTTATTCGGTGGGAACCAGTGGGGAAGGCGTTCGTGGGTGCTGCGACGAACATGTGTTTGCGGTGTTTTGATTGATTCCAGAAAATGAGGTTGATCATAGAGCCCACGAACTATACGATTCCTGACAGGAAATTATTGGTGCCAATAACCAGTCGCCTAACGTTCAAGTGACGCCTGGATATCTTCTGGGTGTCCAGAATAAGGTATCTATGCTCAGCTAACCATTGTCAACTCAAAGTGAGACAGATTGCTCGGGCCAGCGTAGCATGCATTCTGCATAACCCGGTAAAGTCACAGGAGTCTCGATCTTGTCCGAGACATGCCACAGAGATGAGAGACTAGACTTATTTCCTCCCCTGGTCAATCCTCTGACGTGGGCTCTTTGTTCCAGACGGGAGCTCCATGCCAGTTGGCATTCCTGAGATGCATTTCCTGCGGATGTTCAAATGTTGTTGTGTTCCCTTTTCCCTTTCAAGTTTTCGTATTCTCCCTTGGGACCCTTGGGAGAGATTCTGGTCTGGGCTCTTGGGTTGCGCAAAGACCAACTAACGGGTTGAGAGAGAGTGTGTGAGTGAGAGTGAGACCGTGAGACGGGGCTGGCGCATAAAAATAGCAAATTTGAGGAATATTAGCGAAGAGGCGGCGTTACTATGTGCGTGTTTGACGAGGTAGCGAAAGAGGCCGGTGTCAGACCACTTTGTGAGGTTACTAAGGCAGGTAGGTACCTTGGGTCCGTACTTTGTATCTTTGGGCTCTGCCGCCCTCCACATTTGGTGACATTTGGTGGACGTCATAAGGCAATCAATCAATCAATCACGCATCCTTGGCCGCTGGAGTCGCTTCTCTCTTTAATCTCGTGGTTTGGAGACGAATGGAGTCGGGACTGAGAGGAATCATTTTGCTGCCTCCGTCGATAGTCGGACATAAGCCAGCAACTACTTGACTGCAAGAGCATGTGAAATTGGGGAAAGAAAAGAAGTCCAAGTTCGATTGTTGGTGGAATTCCGACTGCGACTGGGAAGAACGATGAACATCCGGATGGTACCTTCCCGCTCCGCTGACACCGCCGACCAGATTCGGTAATACATTGCAGAATGCCACGCTGATCCCCGCTGCTAGCCGGCGACGATACGGAAAGGGAAGGCTTCGAAAGGGACGCCAGACATGTCTTTCAGCCCAGTGTTGTATATCTGTCCGGCATGACGCTGCATCAAATACAGTGGCCAGGGCAGGCAAAGGAGATACCTTACCCGCAGCCGACCTAACAAATTGGGAATGCCGTGACAATCCAGTGTCAGGGAAATGGGGACAGGCCACTGAAGGAGAGCCAGAAAATGCAAAGGGAAAAAAATCAAAAGACCCAGGCAATTTGGGCTGAGTTGGAACGAGGCAAGCAATGTCCATCGGGTTACAGGCTTACAGCCCCTGCGCCTGCCCAATGATAGCGCCCGAAAAGGCCCCAGCGCGGGTGCCCAAATTTTTGGCTTCCGCTTTGCCAATCCCACACCAGTGGACCAGTGTACCTGTGGATCCACACTTCCCCCTCGCGCCTCCCCCTCCAAAGTGCGGTGCTTTTGGTCACTTTCGGTCATTTTGGTGTGGTTTTGGGTGGGCAGGAAGTGGGAAGTGGGAAGGTGGGAGGGAAAAAAAGTGTCCGCTGCCCACAGCCATGTGAATGAAAAGTCACTCAGGTCGCTGGCTGACATGGCCTGGCCCTCTGGTTGGTCCGCTCACCTTGGGTCCGCCACTGTCTTACTACGGTACTTGTCATTTGTACCTGCCACTTGTACCTACCTTACGCCGAAACCCCCTGTACCCAGCCTGTGGGTGGCCTGTCCCGAGCGAAGGAGGAACGGCTTGGGCGGGCTGAATTTTCTTGAATTTGTTAAACCTTGGAGCCGGCCTGTTTCCATTTGATCCTTTCTCCTTTCCCTTTCTTCAACAACACCATTTTGGTGAATGCAACCACTCCTCCCTCTGAAAATGCCTTGTTGACTGACCGACTACTCAAGAAACCCCATCAAACACCAATGCCTAGTAAAAACGACACTTACGACATCACTTCTTGCTCATTCTTCCGCCGCCAGATGCGCCGAAACCCGAGCCACCAAAACCTCGAGAGAAACTACGAATCTGACCCGCGCGACGACCCCGAGCGACGACGAGGCACGATCTCCGTGCTTCACTCTTATCCATAACCCTCCTACCAAAGTGACGGCCACTACTGGTATAGGGCGCGACCGGGACACCGACGCGCGCCCCTCGTTCACGAGCAACCCATACTTTTACACGGAGCGGCCACCTTAAAGCCTTTCCCGTAAATTACCACCACCACCAACCCAGCCATGATTGCCAAGGCGACGCCCGCACTGAACACGGTGCGCGGCTTTCAAAACACCCCCGTCACCTCCGGCGATGAGGATTCCGACTACGGCGTTTGCGCTACCCCGCCTCTCTCCGCGAAGCGCTCCGGCCGCGCTGCCCTCATCGACGATGTCGTCAGCGCCAACTGTAGCCCCAACATGCGCGGGGCCTCCTCCCCTGCTGTCTCGGGCATCGCCAAGCTGCGCTTGCAGATGGAGCCTCTCAGCCTGGATAACTCTTCTCGGACGAGCACTTTGACCCTCAACGGCAGTAACGGCCACGGCGGCCTCTCCAAGGGACTGGGAATCAGCAGTGCTGTCATGAGCCGCTGCGGAAGCCAGGATGGCAGTCAGAGTGAGGCTGGCAGCGAGCGTTCCGAGACCGGGTCTACGAGCTATGAGGTCAACCTGGAGCATGACTATGTCGACGAGAGCGTTCGAGAGCGCAACGGTCACATCGTACCTATCGAGGGCAGCAAGGATGTTCAGCGTAAGATGACGGCCGACGACTTTGATCCCCTCCGATGCCTAGGAAAGGGAACCTACGGTACCGTGCTTCTCGTCAAGCAGCGCAACACCGGCCGGCTTTACGCCCAGAAGCAGTTCAAAAAGGCCTCCCTTACTGTGCACAAGAAGCTCATCGAGCAGACCAAGACGGAGCGTCAGATCCTTGAATCGGTCAACCGACACCCCTTTGTCGTCAAGCTCTACTACGCCTTCCAGGACCACGAGAAGCTGTATCTGATTCTCGAGTACGGCCAGGGCGGAGAGCTGTTCACTCACCTGAGCACCGAAAAGATGTTTGCGGAGCCCGTTGCCGCCTTTTACATGGCAGAGATGCTTTTGGCCATCTCGCACCTGCATAGCACCCTGGGTGTCGTGTACCGTGATTTGAAGCCCGAAAACTGCTTGCTGGACGCTGAGGGCCACCTGTTGCTCACTGATTTCGGCCTTTCCAAAGTCGCGGTCGATACCTCAGAGGACCACTGCAACTCGATGCTTGGAACTGTCGAGTACATGGCCCCCGAGGTCATCCAGGGACAGAAGTACGGAAAGGCGGTCGACTGGTGGTCTTTCGGCGCGCTGGGCTACGACTTGATGACTGGCAACCCGCCCTTCCGCGGCGGCAACCATGCCAAGATTCAGCAGAACATTGTCAAGCAGAAGCTCGTCATGCCGTACTTCCTGAGCCCCGACGCCAAGGATCTCCTGACGCGCTTGCTCAAGAAGGATCCCAAGAAGCGTCTGGGAGCCAACATGCCCAAGGACCTGCAAATCATGAAGGGCCACCGCTTCTTCAGAAAGATTGACTGGAAGAAGCTCGAGGCCAGAGAGGTCGAGCCGCCCATCCAGCCCATGATCACCGACCCCGAGCTCGCCGAGAACTTTGCGCCCGAGTTCACCGATTTATCCCTGAGCCCCGTCATCACGGCCAAGGACCCATGGAGCGCCATGTCGGCCAAGGAGGATGACCCCTTTGGCGGCTTCAGCTTCGTTGCGTCGAGCAGCATGTTGGAGAGCCACGCGTTTCGATTCACCACTGAAGTCTAGATTGTATTGTTCGTACACATCATCAGCAGTGATAGACGAAAGAGTATAGAGAGATCTGGGAGTGCTAGGCGAACGGCATGGGAAAAAGTCTAGGAGCCTCATTGTGAATTGGCGCGCCTAATGGACGCGCGCAGTACGGAGTTATTGAAGAGAAGCAAAGTCCGTTCATCCTTGGGCACTGAGAGTTTCTAGCCCTTCACTGCCCCGTTCGGTGCATGAGCGACGGAACAGTGAAGCATCGAGATTCGTTCTGTTGTTGGGTTTTTTTCTGGCGCACATCGCTAGTCCGTAGTTATACTTTTCCCCCTTCTTCGGTAGTCATTGGGCGAAGCATCGTCACGATAATACATACGAGTTTTTTCTTGGTTGACTTTTTTTGTCGTGCCCCTGCTTCTCTCCTCCCCTGCTTCAAATACTTTCGGCGACAGGCGCATATCGCGCCAAGCTTCAGTTTGCTTTGCAATCCAGTGGCTGGGATTTGGTCCTGGCACTTTTTTTGGACTCCGTAGTCAACCGCGCGCGCGCGCGAGCGCTTGCTTGGCAAATCCACGGATCTCAAAAGGGGGGGGGGGGGGGGGAAGGTGTGTATTCTCCTTCAAGCCTGGCCTGGGTCCCAGAGCCTTGGAACCTTCTTGGCGGTAATCTGAACGTTCGGGAAACCGAAAAAAAGCCATGACTAGCTGCCAAGATTTCCAAGACCAAGACGCCGGGGGGATTTCGTAAACAGTGAAGACAAGGAATGTCAGTCGGGATATTGACTAAAAGGTAGAAGAAAGTCTGTTCATCCTTTCCCTACGGGACACAAAAACACCAAGAAAAGACACCGAGAAAGGTAAAAAAAGATGGGATTACGCCAGGCTCGCTGGTGATGTCCTCAATCTTGCTTTCAAGCTAGAAGCTAGTCTGTGGCAGAGGCCGATTGTGGTATATTGTAAATCAGTGATATGGGGTATAAGCTTGTAGCGTTCACTGCATCCCGATTCCGAAGTCATCATACGTTAGGTCGCGTTACCTTGCTTACCTTGCCCCGGGCGGGTTTTCCCTGAACGTCGAGAGGTTTCGGTACACGGCAGGTTTTCATCCTCCAGGATCGATCTGCGCAGATGATAAGTAACAAACAACGAAAACCCGAATGCTCCGGCGTCCAAAATGCTGCTCCGCGTGGAGGGAGGGGTGCATATGGTGATTCCCAGGACATCGGATTGCTGGCCTTGAGAATCTGGAGCATGTTGTCGATGCATTTTGGGGCATTTTTCTGAATACCGGGCTGCATAATGAAGGATCTCGTTACTTTGGCATCAAATAAGTGTGCGAATTGTTTCATGAGCCAGGGGGCCGAGGGCCATGTTCTGAGCGATGCTGATGATTTCAATATCGGATGGTTGCAATGTCGTCGATGCTGGAAGTCTCTCTTTGCAATGTTTTTTGCCAATCGTCCCTTTCTTGCTTGTCGCGTGACGACTGAGGAAAGGTCAATAGAGTATAGCGCAAACTAGGTCCATGGTTACACTTGTTGGCAATCCGTTTGAACCTGGCGGACAAAAAATATTACCAAGGCAGGGCAGTATTGACCACGTTGGGTTTGTGGAAGAACAGGGCGAGACTAGATAAAACTTGGCGTCATTTGCGCAAAACTCGTACCCGCTTCACTCCTGACTGACAGCAGTCAACGGGAAATGTTTTGCGCCCAACGAGGCTTGGACCAAGCTTGTAGTAACCTGGGGTCCTGGGCAGAGTGGCCGCTGCTGGTGAATCTAGCTGGAATCTGGCGGTGACAAGCATTCGTGATCGAGCTTTGAAAGCTGCGCGGTTGATAGGGTATGAAAATACTAAATGAGCGGTCGAAAGAGCCGGCGCATTTAGCGGAACTATCGGACCCCGGGGCGCCATATCGAACAGAGTCTAAATCCGAATACAGACTGAGGTAACCGGGGGATTGGGACCCGTGATGTTACATTGTGCTGAGAAGTTTTGATCCAACGCAGAAATAAGGTAGTCGGCTAGCCTGCTCGTGGGCCATTGGAGTCGAAATTGCTTTTGACGTTTGCTCAGCCTCCACAAGCTCTGCCCTAAACAATAGGCTAGACAGCATGTCGTGGGATTATGAGTAAATCGTGGCCGTGGTGGTTGCGGAGGTGGAGGTCTCCGGAACAACTCATATACGGCGCGGGATGATAGTTGCACCATCGCCTAAGCTCAGCGTTGCAGTGGACCTTTCCCCGACTCGCGGGCGGCCCATTTAGTGCAATTGCTGTGTAAGACTGTTGGTCAACCTGGGAAACGGGAGCAAAAACCTCCCATCGGCAAGGTGAAGCCCCGCACTCGGCCCCACACCGGTAACGGCTGCCGTATTGGGTCATCGAGATCGTCGCGAGGAGCCCGTAGTATTCGATGTGTTCACTGTGAGCTCAGGTTGGTATGATACGGAGTAGTAAAATAGAGATCATCGGGGATTTGAGTTTCGCTGGCAGCGTCGCGACAGGCTGGGGTTGATTTTACAGCATGGCGAAGCTGGCCGCCGTTGCTCTTGGAAAAAACCTTGCAAGTCGTAACGAGTTGCCTTCATGGTTTCGCGGTCTTGTCACATCATCATCTGACACTATCCAGTACTGGGCGCATCAACCATGCCGTTATTGTATCGAACGCTATTCGAGCTCCAGCGACCAGGAAGCTCCTGGGCCATTCTTTTTTTGCGAAGGTCTACGTCCAGTTGATATTGGGAGTACACTGGCAGTGTTTTGCGAGGGTGTAAACGCAGTTGATGTGTGTAAGTCCGACTCTGTGATGCTTAGATTCCCGCCAAGTCAAGCCTGTGGGCCCCCTCACTGGCTATTGCAGATCGAGCCCGTGAATATACTAGATGTGACGAGTGCTGTCAAGCAGAAGCCATTGGGATGCTTTTGGCTTGGCGATGTGGTTGAAGCGTGGGTTAGATCCCTGAGCCACACCAAGTGACGCAACTTTGAAGCTGCTTTCGGTTTCTACACTGGCAACGCCCATGTACGATTCGATGATTTCTTGAATTTGTGCACCTTGGTGTTTTGTGTGCTGTCTGTGACCTGCTGAGAAATACTCGGCCATCACTGGCCGTAGACGGAATTCAGGGTTGCAGCTTTGACACAAACAGGCCTGCAAGTCAGCCGGTATCCGTATCTCAACTTGTCCGTGTTGCAGATGTTGAAGGGCTGCGCCGCATCCGAATGACACGACTTCCAACCGTCCAAAGTAGACAACAGTCATCTTGGGAATGCAGATTTCGGATTGAAAGGCATCGTTACCTAAGCCAAGGAACAGCAGGAACCGGCAATTGCCTGCTCAACGTCGGACGAAAAGACGGAACTGTATTGCTGTGAGCTCATACCTTGCAGTAGCAAAGTTTCATCTTCTGGACATGGCGTCGAGAGCGGGCGGATCGCAAGGCTCAAGATCAAATCCTTCCGAGTTTGGCAAGGAGCTTGGTAGCTTCAGCTATCCTAGTAGCGTTTAGCATGGTCTAGACTGATGATATCGACCACTGTCGGCGATCTGCTATCCTTCCGGCCCGTCTCTCAGCACTCTGTCCGCTTTCTTCAATGGGCAAGAATGGAACAAAACATGGAAGCATTGCGCGTCCTGCGTCGGTGCTGATCTTTCTTGTGCCACTGGTGCCGTCTTAGTGACAAGATTTGGCAAATCGGGTCGGGTGTGCGGATGCTTAGTTGGACGGTTTGATCGCCTTTGCTTCCCTAAATCTGGTGTGCAGGCTTCACCAGTCCGTGAGCCTTTCTTGCACCCACATGGTTCAGTAGAGACCGACTTACACGTGTTTGGACATCGGAAGGGTCGCAATCCTCGGGCAGCGGAAGATGGGCCTTGACCGACGATAGGATCTCGAAGCATTCCAAGAGTGAGGCCTCGCGGGAACGAAAATAGGATTGTCCATCCTTTCGGTGACAGTGAAGGCATCGGGCTGAGACGCAAGAGCAGGGGGATGTTGGGAAATGCCGAAAGCTGCGGCTGCCGTCAGATAAGCCCCTTCCTTGGCAACAACGTACATCGTCAGCAAGCCTGCTGAAAATACTTGGCGAGGATGCTATAGGCGCATGTTGTGAGTCGTGAGAGTGATCAGCTATGATGCTGGGAGATTGTAGATGAGCACAGATCTCGAATCGCCGTACCTCAGTGGTGCCGACTGAGCACAGGTCTCGCTGCGTGTTCTAGGCACTTTCCCTTTTGATACACCGGATATTCTTAGCAGGTGGGCGTCATGAGAATGGAAGCAAAGCTCTGGATTGATCCTGCCGTGAGTGAAAGGTACTTGGGAGTGGAAGTCTGTGAACACACTACGTATCTACCTGGGTACCTGAAAACACATGAGATGCTGAGGTGCCTTATCTGCGTACAACTGTGAGGTACGTACACAACATTTCAGCCAACATGCAGGTGCATCTCGGGCTGTCTCTACGGTCTACCAAGTGCATCATGCGCTTTCCAACAGCTGTCACAGTATTGGACAAGGCGCATGGTGACGATGGATACAACCCGAAGGCGCGGCTTGGTGCGCTTACCCTAGCGATCGGTGCTCCGTTCCACATCTTTTGTCTTTCCTCTGGTTCAATTCGCCCTCCATGGTCCAAGCCAAGAAAAACAACATGACATGCTTGCGTATGCTTTTCTCACGCTCCAATGTCCGATAGTTCTGCCCTCTACTGTGTAATACGGACAATCCCAAGAAACACTGTTTCTGACCAAGGCTTATGGCAGCAGACACCTCAATCACCCGCGCGGCATCTTTTTGCCTCCGGGAGGCTGAGCCCGCCAAGCACATCCATTGGTCTGTTCACCTTGACCTTTGCTCTTTTTCCAACTTCCCAGCATGGTCGTTGCCTTTTCAGCAAACTACGCACGCGCATATGCAGGGTATCGAGAGCCATCAACGACAGGCGTTTCGTTTGCAGTTTCTCTTCGCCTGCCAGGGCTACAGGTACTCCCCTACCCTCTTCTCTCATCTTGTTAGAGTTCGTGCCGGACAACTGGCTGCCCACGGCCCCAAGAAGGACCAGCAGAAACACCCTGCCAACCCACTAGTCCCATCTGCGTAGAACTCTGGTGCTTCCCGCCAGGATGGTCCCGGCCCGGACCCTTCGACGGCCATGCTCTAGATGGCATCTGATTGTTCACACAAATTTGCGACTCCCTCACTGGGCGAGCAAGCGGAACTTTCTCTGGCCTACTCGTCACTGACTACCTTGTAGATGTCAACTTATTCATGCCACTTTGTCACAGCAGGTTCGGTCAAGGACTCAATGGGAACCAGAGGCTCTCTTCCAGCAGCCCCCGGACGGACAAGGACTTCCCCTTCGGTATTACAGGGGTTGGGCTAATCTCTTTGCCCAATCATATCCATTCCAATTGTGTCTGACACCCTAAAGAGAGTAGACCGCATCCAAGACACGCTGCACGGAGTCAAATTTACGACCTGGGGAGCCTGTGCCTGATTAGTCCTTCTTCCCATTTTTTAGGCTTTACTGGCCCGGGGAACGCGTTGAACCGACCGGGTCCGTCGACGTGGGCCCAACTCTCAGTTTCCCCCCATGGCTGGCCATTTGTCTCTACGACGCGAAGCTACCAAGCTACTAGATGTACTATCAAGCCGACAGCAGCTCCTCATCTGCGTGGCTGTGTTAGCCAAGATGTGCCGCCAGACACATGCTGATCTCTAGCCTTCTCTAGAGCGCCTTCAACAAAAATCACCGATGATACCTGGTAGCAGAGTGTTCCGATACAGCCTGCAGCCGGCCAACTTATGCGTCGGTTACAAGTGCCCCAGGGGTCATCCCCTGCGTGGCTGGACCTGTCAGAGAAAGTCGACTCTCACTGCCCGCACTCCCCCAAGCCGAGAGCAAGCAATGAGTGGGTGGGCGTGAAGGATGGAAAGGCATGGGCCAGGGCCTGACTCTCGGAACAGACTCGAGAAGTAAAAACGGGATGACTTTGTGCTAGTGTATGAAGATGTCGCCAAGATCTCATAGAAAACGACGTGGGGAAAGAAGAGCAAATGCCAATAAACGCAAATCATAGCAAAACGGTTGGCAAAGGGAGCAAAGCCACGGTGAAAGCTCCGGCCCCTCTCTGTTCGCCGCTTTGAACCTGGCATCCGCACTGCACATCTCCGCCATCGACTACCACGGAGCTGGACTGCCGTCGCGCGTCCGTCACATCTTCATAAGAACCCCCGGAGCTCCCACCCTTCTACACTCGATCCAGACTCCAACTGCCGTGTCACTCCAACATTCAGTCCGGAGCCTCCCTGCATATCACAACACACACCAAATATGTGCGTCACATCCTGGCCCCCACTCCATCCCGCTGTCTTTGATTTAAGGTCCTCTGAGGCCTCCATGATAGCTTTCATATAGATGTGAACTAACACAACCAATAGTAGCAACCACGATATACACGCCTTACTAGCGAACACGATGAAGGCCTTCGCAACTTCCTCTCTCGCTGCCGCGCTCTGTATGTCTTGAGCCATCCCTCCCAGACCACCGATACTAATATTTTCGACAGATGCGGCGACAGCCTCTGCCGACGCTATTCAGGCTTGCCCGAATACTGATGTCTGCTTCCGCGTTGCTGTCCCGGCGGCTTCGTCCAGCTCCGGCAGCGGCAACATGTACTTCCAGATGTCTGCTCCGACCAGCTATCAGTGGATTTCCCTTGGCACGGGTTCGTCCATGTCCAACGCCAATATGTTCCTGATGTACGCCGACGGAAACGGCAACGTCACTATCAGCCCTCGCACTGCGCGCGGCCACAACATGCCTACCCTCTCGTCAAGCACCACCCTCGAGCTTCTCAGCGGCTCCGGTATCGTGAACGGTAACATGGTCGCCAACGTCCGCTGCACCAACTGCGCGTCCTGGAGCAGTGGTTCTATGTCCCTGAACTCGGCTTCCAGCTCCTGGGTCGCTGCCTGGAAGTCGGGCAGCGCCCTCAACTCTGCCAGCACCAGTCAGAGCATCCAGCAGCACGACGAACACACCAACTTCAACCTCGACCTGACCCAGGCGACAGTCCAGACCGACAGCAACCCCTTCACGACTACCTCGGGAAACAGTGGCAATGGAAGCGGCAGCGGAAGCGGCAGCGGCAGCGGCAGTGGCAGCGGGAATGGCGGCTCCACCAGCGGCGGTGGTGGTGTTGTATTTAATGGAGGCGGTGGTGTCTCGTCCAAGGTCCTCCTCGCCCACGGGATCATAATGACGATCGTATTCGTTGCCCTTTACCCCATCGGAGCCATCCTCATGCCCTTGGTAGGCAAGTGGATGGCTCACGCTGCTTGGCAGTCGGTTGCCTTCTTGCTCATGTGGGCCGGCTTCGGCACTGGCTACGCTTATGCTCGCGACAACGGTTATGTGAGTTGCTTTTTTCGTTTTTTTCGTGAACCGGGAGGATGTACTCCCTCGGGTCGTTTCCAAGACCCTCCACAACCCAGACATCCAGGATCGCAGTGCTGATACCGCGTAGCTCTTTGCGCAAACCCATACCCTCCTGGGTACCGTAGTTGTTGCCCTCTTGGCCGTGCAGCCGTTCCTCGGATACGCCCACCACGCCTACTACAAGAAGTTCCAGACCCGCGGTGTTATCAGCCACGTCCACATCTGGTTCGGCAGAATTGTGATGATTCTCGGCATCATCAACGGTGGTCTCGGTCTCGAGCTCGCTAGCTCATCTCGGGCCTATGTCATTGCGTACTCCGTGGTTGCTGCTATTCTCGGCGTTGCGTGGATTGGATCCGCCGTTTGGGGCGAGATGCGCAAGTCCAAGCGCAACACCGTCAAGCGCGAGCAGAGCCACGAGTCTCCGGATTCCCAGCAACGCATCCCCTACCGCCAAAAGAAATAAGCGCTCGGCCTAGCTTGGTTCCGGGGTTTGTTATGGACGACGGCAAGAATACAGAGGAAAAGACCATATGGGATACAGAGATTAGCCTCTAATTTGTTTTGTGTAATCGTTATACCACAGGTGGCAGTGTGCCGACCTTTCCACGTCTACGAAAGATCTGGGCCGTAGTATGAAGACACGGCAACTCGGGTAGAGCACGGAGTTAGTGGCGTTGTTGGTGATGGATTTCTTGAATGATAGCTTATGCAATAATGGTCACTTGATCTAAGCCATTGGTGTTCGCGTGTGTGACTGATAGCCTTGCAGGCTTTGAACACGAGCCCTCGACTCATTGTACGCATCGTTGTGTCCTTCCCTTCTAATTTAACACGGGTAGTATAGCAGGGTGAGCAACGACGAGGAAATTATAAATATGCCGGAAAGTAAGAGAGAGAAAGACATCTTTCCATCTACGCACTTGTGCAATATCTTGTCGCTTGTCTCTAGAACAAAAGCAACTGGATCAATCGAGACAGATATTTAGCAAGGTAAATGAGTGACTGGCGACCTGGCTCGACTTCGAGCCCAGCGTACAACAGCAAAAACACTCTTGATAGTGACGAAAATGACGGAGTATGAGAGACATGGATGTATGAGGTCATGCACCAAAAAGTCGATTGGTCGCAACTGTGAGAGAGCTAGCCCGGATCGCCAGAGGAGCTTAGGCCAAGCTTGGTCCGAACAAAGTGTGGCAGTTTGAACTCTCTTGGTGCGTACTGTAGGTGTGCCCGGCGTTAAGTGCCAGCCTATGATGTCGGCGGTGATGGTTTGGTGGAGGGGGGAAGTTGACGAAACCGTTCCTTCTTGGCTGTCAATTACTCCCAATGACCACATCTCGCCCAGCTAGCAGTCACCTTCCAGACGAGATCTGTACCAGAAAGAAGATGGGCAGCGTACGGTAAAGTGTCATCGGTCGCTTCCTCACGTGATATCAGTCCACCCGCCTCCGCTTGTTGTTTCCCCGACCCGCTGCAGCAATGCGTGAGAGGTGGAAGGACGTGGGAAAGGGGGGAAAGGCAGCAAAAGACAGGCGGACAAGTTCTACGCCTGAGACCTGAGGCATCCAAATCACAACGGTCGGCTGGGAATCATTGCGTCCAACCAGAACTGAACCGGCTCACTCCAGCTTTTTACTGTCCCATCCCGTACAAAACCCTCAACCACCCGTCGTCCGCCTCCCTCCCCCCATCCCCCCCGGTGTCCCCAATTGAGCCAGCCACCACCCACATATCAAGATGCTCGTCCAATTGTCCAGAGCCACTGTACGTCTCTCCTCTCTCTTCCCGTTGTCGTGATGATGATGATGTTGTTGCTGTTGTCTTGTCGCTGTTGGCGTCGGCCTCCGTTCGGACGCGCGGACCGTCGGTCGGAAATCAAGGAAAAAAACTGACGACTTTTTGCCCAAACAGCGCGCCGCTTCGGCTGTCTCTCGGCTGGCGAGGCCCAGCGCCGTCCAGATGAGGGGATTCATCGCTCCCACCGTCTCCCGCAGAGGTTCGTCAATATTTCTCCCGTCTTCGATTTCAATTGCCCCCCCAGGAGGAAGAGCGAGGTTGCGTTCGATGCGAAAGCGTTGGCCATTTCGGGTTGCCGGTGCGGCTAAAGGGAGGCCAAGCTCCGAAGCTGGGGAGTGCGCCTGGCTGTCGGATAACGATACCGGTCACGCAAACCACGTGAACATACTCGTCGTCCATTACATTCGCATCGACCATCCTACGCCGATTAATGGTCTTCTATCTCTCCGATTCGCCCGTCGCTCGCTCGTCCTTCCTCTTCTTCCCATGCCGTCGCTGTCGTCATCGCCCAAAAACTCTTGCTCCGATCCCGTTTCACTAACCTGCAATCCCCGATACAGCCGACTTCGTCCAGGAGCTCTACCTCAAGGAGCTCAAGGCCTACAAGCCCACCCCCATCAAGGAGTCCGACTCCCAGGGCCAGGTCCAGACCTTCTCCATCCCCGCCACCCCCAAGTCCCCCGAGGAGGCCGACCTCGCCGCCAGCCTGAAGGAGTACGAGAGCATGGCCGTCGAGGTCGAGGGCCAGGACGCCACTGCTGCCGCCAACGGCGAGCCCGTCAAGCACGACTGGCTCATGATTGAGGAGGACGAGGAGGAGCCTCACCACTAGAGCGCTTCGGCGACGTGCAAAACCGTTATTGGAAAAGAAAACAAAAAAGTTTCAAAACGAACCACACCGTCCCGGATTCTCCCGCCGAAAAGATAAAAATCGTCATCAATCCTCAAGTGATGGGAGGGAAAAGTGCTTTTCCAACCTTGGCTTCTGGGTTTGTAACCTTTGCCGCTTGCTCCGAACCGACCAAAAGGAGTGGGAAACGTGTTTTTGTGATTGAGAGGAGAGGAGAGGAGGAGAAAGAGAGAGAGGAACCCTAGAAACGAGGGGAAAGGTGTGCTGGGAGGTGGTAATCCCGTGTATATTGTCCAACTAAACCTCGCTGGCTAGGAATGCTATTCGCATGCGCTTCAACGTCCTCGGTCCCTCTTGTGTGTATATGGCTCATGCCAATCATGTGTGTGATTTTACCTGGACGTCCTCGACCAACAACCACCATATTCCGGCAGCTCCCATGCCAAATGGATTCAAATGACTCTATTGCTTTCCAAAACGGACCGCATACCTGACTCTGAGTCTTGAGTCTTGAGTGAAGACATTGTGGGGAACCCGGAATCTCCCGAACAGAGCCAAAACCACCACCACCACCACCACACAGAACCGTCGTCAGGCGGAGAGCCCTTTATCAAAAGACCTCTGATACCCGGGAAATAGTAATTTCTCAACACACAACTCGCACACAACTCGACGGAACCCCCGCCGATTGCTTCCACCAAGATTCCCTGGACGAAAGGGAAAAGAGTCATCTACCTTGTGCTACGGGGTCTTGTTTTCAATGCACACCGAGGTGGGTTCGCGTAGTGTTCCTGGGACAACAGACGACGAATGATCCGCAGCGATTATGCTGGCTACCATTTCCAGAGGTGGAGAGGGGGTGACGGGGTGATTTACTGTCTGCTACCTAACCTTGCTTGCCTTTCTCGCCTACTTTGCCTTCCTTTCCTTAACCTTCATGAGTCTTCTTGATGGCTATCCTTATCCTTTGTCACTACTCTCCCTCTCTTGATTGTCTTTACCTACCGAATTCCACATTCTTCGAGGGTAATACATACTGTCAGTATGGTAGCTACAGACTTGGCATCTTACACCTCGGAGAATGCATCCCTCCGTTGTCTACGTATATAAAGCTACCAGGTTGACAGTTGGTAGCACAACCTTCCGGGCATACGACCAGCCCCATCTGTGGATTCGAGTACCATATAGAAACTCCTTTTCCTCTACTCCCGCACCTGCAGGCCGCATCGGCAGCGAGTCGCATCGAGGAGGGGGGAAGCTTCTGCGGCATCGGCATGGCTGTTCTATTCGCTGAAAAGGTATAGCAGAGACACAAGAACAAAGGTAGTGGTGATAGAAAGAGTGACCCTTACTTGCGTGTCAATCAGGGACGTTGTGATATGATCTATTGGTAGTTTTGGGCGTCACTACAACACAATCACGTTGGAAGGATACGTCAAGAGAACCTAGCGTCCTTTATGGTTTTTTGTCAAATGTAGCTGAAGCTAATTAAGCAGTATTACAGACGGTTTTGTGTAGAGCTGATCGCTTTCCTCTCTCACTTTCTTTCCGTTGACGGCCCCTCCTTTCTTCATCTGTACCATCCACCACTCGATATACCGCATGGCGCTTGATGACCGATACAAGGGTTTGTTTGTTGGATATCTAGGCATCCTTCGAACCCCACCCCCCCTCCCCCTGATTCAGTCTCCAAGCCCATGGACCATAAGATTGCCCCAAACGCTGAACGTCTGTCGCAAAATTGCAGTATATCCTATAGGCAAGACTGGTTTCCCCTCCTTTCCTTTCGTACCACTCCATTCGTGAAAGACACATCCTCCCAAAATGCAGCGAAGCCTGTGTATCAGCCTCATATCTGATGTGCGGATGTTCCCTATGGCAACGACTCGTGGGAATGTAGAACAACCACATCTTCCGATAAAGGCATCAAGGTCACCAGCATCAGCATCAGCGAGCGGTATGCAGAGCCTTTTCGTCAAGGCCTATCGTCGTTGTTGTAGTTATTGTTTGTATCGTGTAAGTAAAAGCTCTTCAATTAGCATGAAAAGCAGCAGTCTGAGGGGCCGATCAGGAATCCGAATGTTCATCGCTTCAGCCCAAAAACGCCATGTACCGATTACACCCCCCGGGCCCAATGATCACATGCAAGGTTTGACCGCCCTTATGCACTGAAATCCATGAATGTTCGTTTTTTTTGACTTCGTAATGATGATGACCGTGTTTTGCTTCTGCAAGAGAGAAAAGGCTGTGTGTGATGGAACTTTTGTTTGTCCTCAAAATAGAACCCAAAAACAAATGACCCAGAAGTACCTTTGGAAAAAAAAAAACCAGAATGCATCAAGTCATTAAACGTCAAAGTGACCACCACCAATCATCTGCTCTTCGTTGGTGGTTGTGCGCACAATGCCGCTCATGCGATTGCCTCTCTGGTTCATGTCCTCCAGGTCATCCCAGTCATCGTCCTGGTGGTGAGAATCACGCATCTCTTCGTCATCATAGCGGCCCTTATCTCTCATGTGATCGTCGAGAGCGCTCTCGTCCACAAACGTGAAGCCCTGGAAGTTGGCCTGCACAGAGGGCGAAAGGGGCGTCGATGTAGCGAATCCCTTGGACAAAGCAGCGGCCCGTTCATTAAGTGAGCCATTGTTATCAAGCGCGTTGGTGAACTCGGGGTCGAAGTACGACACGTCTGTGGCAGAGGTCAACTTGGGCTTGAAGGGAGGTGTGATGAGCTTCTTTGCCAGAATGTCCCAGTCAATGTCGGCAAAGAATGGGTGGCGCTTCAACTCCTCCGCATCGTCCGTCGCACCAAGTCTGTGCTTGGGGTTCCTGTTGAGCAAGCCCTTTACGAAGTTGCGACCCTCCTGTGACAAGGTGTCCCGAGGAAATCTGACCTTGCCAAAGGCGATGTTCTTGTACATCTGTTGGGTGTCCTCCGCATAGAATGGACTCCAACCGCAGCACATCTCGAAGACTAGAACTCCCAGCGACCAGAAATCCACCATCTTGGTGTATCCCGACTCGTCAAGGAGAACTTCGGGAGCGAGGTACTCGGTTGTGCCACAGAATGTGTTTGTGGTATCGTTCTTTGTCAAATTGGCCTTTGACAGGCCAAAATCACAAAGGGCAATGTGACCATTTGCGTCGAGCAGAATGTTCTCTGGCTTCAGGTCACGATAAACGATATCGTTGTTGTGGAGGTGCTGGATGGCCAAGATGAGTTCTGCGATATAGAACTTGGCTCTGCGCTCATCGAACCGTCCTTCTTTCTGGAGATGCCAGAATAGCTCACCGCCAGACATGTAATCAGTGACCAGGTAGAGGTCTGATGGCGTCTGGAAGGAGAATTTGAGGCCCACGATGAAGGGCGAGTCGGACATGGCTGTCCGAACCAGGATGTTGCGCTCACCAACGGTATGGGCGACCTCCTTCTTCTGAACAATGACCTTCTTGGACAGGACCTTCATGGCGTAAATGCGTTCGGTATCCTTCTTCCGGACCTGGTAAACTTGTCCAAAGGTACCCTTGCCGATCAACTTAAGAATCTGGAAGTCTTCAGGACCAAAGTGCTTTCTCTCCGTTCGCTGGTAAACGGCTTCCACGTAAATCTCTCCCGTAGGGGCATTCTCCGCCATCGTGTCGGCGTGTCCCTTAAGCTGGAACCAGCCACGTACTGGGTTGCTGGAGTCCCTGTTGGCCTGGAAATCGACTTGACCCAAAAACTCCTCTCCCTTGTCGGTGTGGTCATAGACGGAAATATCAACCAGCATGTTCGAATCAACAACATCACTGCCGGAAAGTCAGCCAATAACCCAAGTACATCAATCAGTGTGCCCACTTACAATTCTGCCTCGGCGTCCCACTTTGGACTGGTGAAGGATCGGCGGGACCGGTTGCGGAATGTGTTATAATCGGAAATGCTGGTGTTGCTGCTCTGGCGGCTGCGCATAGGAATAGACATGACCGGGCGGCCTGAGTCGCTGCCTTGTCTTTGAATCGGGATGCCTCCAAAGGAGGGGGCCGGGAGGTTCACGTCATCCTCCTCTTCGACGGAGCGCGGGCCTCCTGAGATGAGCTCGCTTCTCTGAAAAACCGCTACGACGTAAGGGTCCTTGGCACGTCGCAAGCCCTTGGCCTCGACGATCTTGATCGTGAGTTTGCCGCGAGCAGCGGGAACTTGAGCGCCGGTGGTACCACGGCGGATGGGTGTCTGAACGCCGCTAGGAGGGACCGTCTCGTTGCTGCTTCTCTTGGAGGTTGACCTCTCCTCAGCCTGAGAGGGCTGCGCCGTTGAAAGCGCCCTTGTAGGAGTTGGTGGACCGCTCTTGAATCCCGCAAACTGTGTTAGCTTCTTGAGCTGATCAACTGACGAAGAGCTGTGAAGGGAAGCGGCTTTCTGCGCTGAACCAACGTGGAAAGTAATGGGGGATGTTGGTGTGATGGGCTTGTGAAGACTGGGGTTTGATATGTGATAAGCATGCACAACTGAAGTTGTGACGATGCTTGAAGGTTGGGACATGAGGGTGAGGCTGTGGCATTTTTGCGGGTAATCTGTGACGCCTCTTTGGAGCTTCGGTCGCGCAGATGAGGATGCCGCGGACCGTGATTCTCCATATCGCAACGACAGACTTCTTTTCAAAAGTCCCGCCGACGACCGTCTGGATATCGGCGGTGTCGGGTACTGATGTGTCTGAACCAGTGCCATGGATGAAGTGTGTGGTGATGATGGCCGCTCTTCGGGGTGGGGGAGTGATGGGGATGTTGGTTCAGGATCGCCACCGGGCACAGCATCCACTGAGCTGACCTGAGAAGCCTTCCCGTCCGTCTCGACTTGTTTCGTTGAGGGACCAGGAAGCGGTTGTCCTCGATTGCGATCCGACGCGACAGGGGCAGATACAGAATTGTGAGAAGAATCTGTACGAACCTGGCCGAAGTAGCTCATAATGCCCGGCAGGCGTTTGTCATGGAGGTCGGGTTGAGGGGTCGCCACCCCGGAGCGGGGCGTATCAAAGCCGATCTGATCCGCGCCATCTTCGTCAGGTGCGGCCGCGGGAGTCCTGCTGGGGTGGTTAACAGTGAGATTCATCTTTAATTGTGGCGGATAATGCGCGGAGGAGGGAAAATCGTGGGTTGGACAACAGAAACAGAGGGATGACACGCTGAGCAACACAGCGAAAAGCGGAGGCAAAATTTAGAGTGAAGAGCTAGCTCATGACGGCTGCCAAGACCATGACCACACTTGGGTACTTGTGGTGAGGACGAGTAATTGAGGCGAGGCGGAGTAGGGAGGAGTTCTGCCTTGTGTGCGTCCCTCCGTGTGTGCCTCTGGCGGAAAAGAACGGGTAAATTTTTTTCTCTCTTCTCTTCGTCCTCTATTGGGCTTGGGGGTGGAAGCAAGGATGCCGTCGCAATAGCTAGCCGGGTAGGTAGGTAGTGCAGTTCGGGGGGGGGATGATGCAAAGGGCCAAAAGGGAAGAGCCGTCAAATAGAAAACATGAGTAAAGTGGACTTTTTTGTTCCGAAGACGCCCCGTCTTCATAGGTCCTCGAACACTAGTCAAGGCCTTGGATCGGAGGTTTTTAGTAAATGCAATGGCGGGGCAAGGACACTGGGCGGGCGGAGGGGAAAGAGGAAGAGGGGAAACCATTCAGACGACGCGAGGTGCAGGGAGAGCTTCAATGCTGACTTGACTAGAGCAAGAATGACTGGTTATTCCTACTTTGGTCGTTGGACCATTGTTGGACGAGTCAGGCTTCTCAACTTTGATAAGCCTCTTGCAGCATTGGCTCTTGGACTGGCTCTGGCGTCCTGGCCATGGCCGCCCCCGCGTCCCTACACCTCTATTTGCCATCTTCTAGTTCTTGTCACCGCATTGGCGACCGAACGAAGGGTTCGGGTAAGGTAGGTAGGTGAACATGGGTAGGGGAAGGGATGGGACGAGGGGTACGCGGTGATTTGCATGTGCAAGCGAGTGCTGGATGGGGGGTGTAACAGGACTTTGGACTGATGCGTCGTATATCGCCCTCACTCGCGACATGGTCCACGGAGCAAATGTCAGCTTCAGGTATGCCTGCCACCGGCGCCTACACGAAGCGAACGTGTGCCGCCAGAGGGGGGGGGGGGGGGGACCAGTCAAGTGAGCAAGCTCTTAGACCACGGTAGGATAGAGCGAGAATGGGAATGGGCTCAGTTGTTTGCAGCCTCGGACACTCGTCCGGGATCGTCTGGGGTCCCTCAGCGGTAGGCTGAAAGGGCCGTTGACGGCATCGGCCTCTGGCACTAGCCAAATGAGGAACGTCCTGACAGAAACCCATCGGGTGCAGGAAGTGAACAGGCGACAGGAAAGGCCCCTCGTTCGCCAGCCACCCCTCCATCGCCACGCTTTTGGGTAGTATGTGTCTATGTCCGACGATGACATGCCGCATGGAACGGGCAACCTTCAAGAAGAGAGGCTCCTTCCAGGGTCCAATGCGCGCCGCGGGGAAGATCGGGGGCACATATGGGAACAACAAGGTAATGTGACGGGGTGGTGACAGGTAGTGAAAAGCGTCGATGACATATGAGGAGATACCTAGGGTCTCGAACACCCACCAAGCCTAGCTAGCGAGTGACGGAGACAGGAAACGGTACTTTCCATGGTTACGCAACTCCAGCTTTGAAGAAGCAACCAGGCGAGAGGCAGGCAGGCCGGGGTAAAGTCCCATGTGTAAAGGGAAATAAAGGACGGATAACAAGCGAATTGGAAAGGCGTCACAACGCAAGCCGAACAGAGTGAGCGAGCAACCAAGCAAGCAAGCTAGCGCCACAGCTTCGACCGAGCACGCGGTGAAGCAGTTCAACCAACTGGCCGGTGCAGGATTCAAGGGGCATGGAGACAACATGAAATGGGTGCAAAAAGGGGTCCGAATAGGAGCAAAAGGTAGTGGGCAAAGAGGATGCAAAGGGTGTAGAGCACGGCAGAGAGGCACAACGAAAAATTGCACATACCTAGAAGTCGAGCCTGACATCATCATGGCCTGTGTCGCTCGCTTCAACAGGTCGAAGCCACCTGTGTTTGTGTTTGCATGTGCACCCTCGGAGCCGGACATGGTTGCTGGCTGGCGTCTTTGTGTGACGGACGGTGAAGGTGAAGGCCTAGTCGAGGCAGAGGCCTGAATCCTTGGTTGACGTCAAAACAGGCCCGTGATATGACCGCGATGCCGAGGGATTGGTGGGCGCGAGAGACGAGCGGCAGATGGGGGTGAGGACTCGCGCAGGTGTGTGCGTGCGAGAGAGAGAGAGAGAGTGTGTGTGTGTGTGTGAGTGAGTGAGAATGCGGTGTGAGAGTTGTGAGTTTGGTTCGTGAGAGGAAGCGGCGGCGAGTAAGATGCGGCTGGCGTTGCGGTTGCGGTTTCGGTTGCGGGTGATGTGATTTTTCGGAGGTGAAATTGGAGACTTGGATTTTTTTTTCTCTCTCGCTCTCTTTCGCTGGAGGGGGTTGAGAAGTTGAGAGAGTGTGAAAGTGGGATGGAGAGTGAGAGAGAGCCGGACCACGCTATGAGATCGGGTTGCCTTCAGGTTGTGTGCGTGGGAGTGGAGGCGGCAGGGTGGAGGCGGGAGGGAGGGGGGCGGACAGGAGCCACGAGAGGGGAAGGCGTGACTGGGTCCAGTTGAGACTCGAGGTTTGTTGCTTCCTGCCTTTTTTGCCGTCCTTCTTTTTTGTAGGTACCTTTCCAGGTTGGTGTCCACTGTCAGGTACACAACGCCGACTGGCCAACTGTGGAGGCGAATAGAGGCACGCCGTGCAAGCTGAACTGAGTTGCGTCCTTCCAGTCAGTCACCGGTGGAGGGGAAAAGGAAAGGTTCAATACCAGGCCGGATGGGACTCAGGAGGACAGAGCGGCTGCGAGCAGTGAGGTGTCTCCCGTTGGGTACGGATCACTGGTCGGTACCTTGCTCTTGTAAGGTAAGGTTGGTGTAGGTAGGTACCTTGGGTGCTTGGGTATCGTGAGGTGTGAAAGTGGGTCAACAGTGACAGCGTAAGGGTAGCAGCCCAGCCAGTGTCGAATGGACTGAGGTTATCCAAGCTAAGGCCCGATTGGAAGCCAGGGAGTCCGTGATGCTGGCGATGACAGCATCCAGTGAAAGCCAGAGGCTGGCCAGAGGGGCGGATCGTGAAGTGGCACCCGTACTGTGGTAGAATGTATGTACTGTAGTTCTCAACTCTGGAGGATACTACTCCGTCGAGGATTCCGGTTCGTGAGGGGAGAAAACGACCCGATTCTGGGAACCTGGAAAAATTGGGTTCGAGCCTTCAAGGGTGGAGACGGACGAGTCGAAATGAGGTCAAGCGTTGGAGAGTTGACCTTTGAGGTGAGGTGAGGTGGGAAGTTGGCCAGTGAGGCGCCCCGAGTATTTCGTGGGGTAAATAATAAAGCTGACCTGAGTGAGTACCCAAGGTAGTCGTCGGATCGGTGAGATGAGGTGAGGTGAGGTAAAGAGGATGTGAGCATAAGCATGAGCGTGGGAGTCGGAACTCTGCGAATGGCAGGTTACAGGCGAGGAAGAGGAGGAGGTGAGGCGGAGTGAGGTAAGAGGCGTGGGAGGAAAGCGGCGACCCAGGCCCAAGAACCAAAGCCTGCTCTTTCTCTTTGAAAGTGGGGTCTTTGTGTGGAAGGAAGGTGCCTGTCACAGAGGCTGCGTCCTACCTTACTCGGTACTCGATGGATAAGGTAGCCAGCCACCTGGATATCATTCCCAATGGTGACGAGAGTTGTTATAAGGGAAAGCCCTGCCCTTTCTACCTTGAGTTCCAGGTCTAAGGTACGGAGTAAGGTAGAGTTCAAGAAAAGAGGTCAGGAATACCGATCCATCTCTCACATGTACGGTCGACGATGTCAGGGAGAATAGTCACAATCTAAGGTGCCGGTGGAAGGTGCGATGCAGGTGCAAGGCAAAGGTACGGTATTAGCCCGCCGGCCAAAAGATAACCCCATATACAGTCAGAAGGGTAGGTATCTATCTTAATCAACGGTAGCATCTACATGCTTTTACAATACCTACCTTACCGAGTAGATGTGGGAGAAAGCTGGAGAAGAGAGTAAGTGAGGCAGAACCAAGACACCAAGACAATCAGATACCGCCACCATGTATGTGTGTGCGTGTGTGTGCTCACGTACATTAGTAGGTACGAAGAAAAAGTTCAAGAGACAGACTCCAAAGTACGGCCACTCCGTACAGAGCTCGGAATGCCGTTTTGGGGAGTTTGAGACTGTCCAAAGTGTTCTGGATTGCCTCCACAGCATTCCACAAATCAACGGCCAATCCGCCTGTGCTTACCGCGCTCTGTGCGTCCAATTTGCGCCCCGGGAATAATCAGAATGCGACTGGCTGGATGACTGCATCTAGAGGTATCTGGTATTTGCCCTGGTGAGACTGCCCTGGTACATGCTCACATACTGTCGACGGAAGATATCTCGCGCTGCATCTCATCGACATGTATATGTTACAACTTACAGCCCCGAAGTCGATGCAGGCGCAGGTGCAGGTGCAGAGCAGATGCAGCAGGTGCACCTCCCAACTCGCATGTACCTCTTGCCTCTTGCATCCGCTTCCACTTGCACCTGTACCTACTCTTTCACGGATTCCCTTTTTGGATTCGCTTCTCCTTCTACCTTACCTTATTGTACGTACTCGACTGCAGTAGTCATCCTCGCCTGTTTTTCGGTGCCCTCCGCCAGAAGCTACCATGAGACACGCTTTGATATCTTCCTCAGTTGACCTTGAGGTAGAACCTCGAGGTGTCTGATTCATCTTCATCCTCAAAAGCTGACTTGGTAAGTCATTCCAAAAAGAAACGCCATGCCTTCCAAGTTATACTTAGGGTGCCATCGCGCCACACTTCGGCTAGGCTTGCTCCATTACAGGGGAGCATTGTTCCACACGACCTTCTAGAACAGACCCAAGATCCAGAGAGGAATGACCAGCGCCTCTCGCGCCTTGAACCAACTGCCAACCGGAGCAGACTTACCAGGCTATCTAGATACCAATATTAAACATCATCTCCGAGCTGAGCGACACAGGTCATTGAGAGGAAAGCGCCGCATT